TGACAGTGTGTCCTCACCCAGGCCTTCTGGAAGCTGGGTTTCTCTGAGATGAGGCGAGGGGGCAATGTCTAACACGACATTTCCAAAGATAGCTGGGTGGTGGTGCCGGTGGCGGTATTCACGGGTGGTCCTGGGGAATGGTTGTACCCTGTGTTTGGCCAAGTGCAGTGCAGCAAGCTTGCCTGTCAGGCTGTGGGCGACACCAGTCACACTGGAGTGTCTCTTCACGGATGTAGCCAGGTCACAGCTTTGCATGATTTTGGAGCCCTTCTGTGAGTGCTGGTTCTATGCAGAAGATACCCTGGGGTGGGAACCTTGAGGTTAAAGATTTATACCTAGAAACAACAGCAGTAGTAATACTTGTGGTAATAGTAACGTAGTTACTATCATAGCAGCAGTAACAATACCAATGCTCACAGCAATACTGGTCACAGAAGTACGGATGATGCAGCAATAGCAAAGTGTTCTTTGGCTCTGCATCAGATGACCTTGGACTGGAATCTGCTCCCCCATTTCCTAACTGTGACCTTGATCTCAGGCTTGCCACTGATCCTTTTACTTTCTTTATCTGTAAAGGGAGATTGTTGTGGCATTTAGGGTTTTGCGAAGAGTGAATGAACTATATAGAGCACCAGGTGACAGTGCCTGGTGTCAACTCAACTGGACCAAGAAATACTATTACCATCATTATTCCCATTTGGCAAATGAAGAAACTGAGGCTCAGGTAGCCAGCATTTGATCCAGTGCCTAAGATCACTGTATTCTGCTGAGCTGTTGCCTCCCTGTATGGAGATGGCTGTTTCTGGGGAGGCAACCTTTGAGGGGTTGGCTGATGTCACCTAGAAAGGTGGGGAGAGAGAGCACAGATGCCAAGAGCCATCAGCAGGGAATGTGCTCCACAGCCATCCTCTGCAGGTCTCCTGCAGGGCCTCTCGCTCCACCAACAATCAGTGGGACCTGGAGGATGGACACAGCACCTGCACTGTTGCCTCTGCATCGAGGGGACTTTGAGGTGGTCAGGAGGTGTCCTCATTTGCTTGGACTTTAAAGAAAAGGGAAGAGAGAGAGAGAGAGAGAGAGAGAGAGAGAGAGAGAGAGAGAGGGAGAGAGAGAGATTTTATAAGACAATGCTAATGTGAGCTTCTAATGCTAGGCATTTTGATGTAGTCCCAAGTGGGCCAAGTCTAGGAGGAACAATTAGGAAAGGTTAAATGAGAAGTCCAAGGCTCTGGTCTGGTGCTCTGATGGGGCAGGGAGGTAGGCAGAGAACATAAGCCAGAGCTCCATCCTGCTGTGCCAAGCGGTGTGCCCTGGGGCAAGTCACTCCAGCTCTCTGAGCCCGTTTCCCCAGCGTCCACCCATCCACCTGCCCTCTGCCCATCTAGGTAGCCAGCCACCCCCAGCCAGCCCGTTGATGATGCCAGTGCCCAGACCACACTGCCAGAGCATCGCAATACGGCTCCTGGATCGCAGCTGGAGTGCAGTGGGGGCCACGGTGCCTGGCAGTGAATGCACAGGGCCCTGCCGAGTTGGTTTGCTGTCTGTGGGTCAATGTACAGGGAACTGGAAGCTCTGCTGTTCTGTCTGGAGGAAATGGGCCGGAAACACGGGTTTGGGTCACCCAGGATAGCTGGCTACAGAGTCGGGGTGGGGGGTGGGGGTGGGGTCCTAGGCTAGGGTGCTTGTTTGAGATAATGTCCACCTCAGAGGGCTGTCCTGAGAATTAAGGGGAACTGACACTGAGCACGGACTCAACAGGTCATTTTATCTGTCAAGACCCCCCCCACAGAAGAGTTGACTTAAACATGCCAAGACCCACTTGGAGATCGGAAAATAATAAAAAACAAAGAAACAAAACAGCTCCAGGGTAGTAAAGGTTAGAAGAGGCCTTCAAAGGCCTTCGTGTGGTTAAAACTAGACTTGTCTGGAAAGGGGAGTTTTTAATGTGTTAATGAAAATACCTACTTCTGTTAGCGGCCCCTCAGCATGGTGGTCTGAGTTGCGCTCTAGTATTGTTTGGCTGTTTACCGGCTGCTTGTGATTTGCAGAATTCAGTTTCAATTTTCAGAGGTTAACTGGGACAGAAATGTCTCATTTAAAAAGTGGAAAAGAAAAGAGGTGGAGAATTGTGGTGTTGCTGCATGTGACAAGGGAGAGACAGGCCGAGCTCAGAGTGCCCGTGAATTACACAGCATAACAAGCCACACAGGACAATGACATGGTTCCACCCAGGGCTCTAATTTGAGATTCTGATGAGGCCCTGGCTGTGGTCTTTTCTACAGACTGTGGCGGAACAGCCTTTGAAGTTCTGTGTTCTCCACCAGAACCCAGACGGTTAAAAATATGTATTTCTTAAACAAAGGAGGTATATCTAAGAGGTGACTGGTCTAAGCTTGAAAATTGAAAAACGAATGTCATACTTCAGATGTTCAATATGGTAGTCTTTTTTTGGGGGGGGTGACCTCTACATATTTTAAAGATTTATTTAAAAAATTTTTTATTAATACATGTTTGCAGTTCATGATTACATTCACCATGGGGAGTTGGTACATGTACATAAAACATCTTTTTACTAGGGCTGGGGATTTAGCTCAGTGGTTCCAGCGCCTGCCTCGCAAGCTCAAGGTCCTGAGTTCAATCCCCAGTACCACAAAAACAAAAACATCTTTTTACTTTCCCTTTCTCTTCCCTCTCTGCATCTCTTGGTTCCCTTCTCATTTGCAAAAGGTCCATCTCCCTGTTTAAGTATCACACTTGCACTTGAAAACTGCCCTTCCTGGATTGAGACTTGTGACTTCAGGTAGGGCAGCTCGGACTAGGTGGGACAGCAGCTGAACATGTTACCCGTGCCTGACCCAGGGCAGTCTGTCATAAACTCACTGCGTACGTACAGCTGGTTCAGAGGGAACCGCTTAAATGCCATACTTTCACGGGACAGGAGACTGACAAGATTCTTCCCTACGCCCTGGCTCATCTGCCACCACACAAAATCCAGGAGGCTCTCCAAAGTTGGGGGCATCAGAATTATCTGCCCAGACCCAAGTCAGAGCCCCGGGCCTAGAAATCTGCGTTTGCACTCATTCCCCAAGTGCTCTTCACAAGTCTGGTCCACAGGTGTATTATATCATCTCAGCCAGTGTTTCTCAGAGTTCATAAACCAGTGACTCTGGAAAAAGAATCTGCAATACTCACTTTGAGCTATCGCTTACTTTGTAAAGAGCAATGGAAAGCAAAGACCAAAGCTGGGTGAGGAGGCATGTGCCTATTACCTCTGCTACGAGGGAGGCTGAAGTAGGAGGACTTTGGGGGCAGCTTAACAAGACTCTGTCTCCAAAAAATGACCATCTCCTCATTTCATAAAGCATGTACGGTTTGGAAAAATCTCTATTCATGGGCTTTATTGTCCACTTTGCTAGGTGAGCTGTGTGTCTTCACCATCCAGTTTTCAGGAACCCCAAAGGGTTTTGGGCAACACTTTGGGAAGGGGATCCAAGATACAAGGCTTACTAGAGAAAATCGTCATCTTACATTCTTTTATTATAATATATATATGCAGATCTGTTTTATGTACAGTAATTGGTTCTATCAAGTAATCAGACCAAGGCATTCTACTGGTAACCTTCTCCAAAATAGATTTAGGTAGAATAAGATGTTTATACACTTTGTGGGCTATCAAAACTTTAGACTTCATTGATTTCAGTTGTGAAGCCATACTTATAATTCAAAATATACATTAAATGTGTTAAGGCGATGAAAGTGAGCTGAAAGAAACCACAGGATGCAGAGCAATTAAACAGTATATTTTGCTTGCATTGGAAGCCACAATGTGGATGGCAAATATTGTGCATATCTCACAGCCTCTTTTAAGCAGTGTGAGGAGCTTCTGGATGTTGAAAGTGTTCGCACAGCGGTGGGCAAACAGTTACTCGACCTCCTGGAGCTGCGCGAAGGACTCATTTCTTCTCTGCATCTCCTTTCTTGGGTTCTTGCTTCAGTTTGTAATCAGCCAGGGCGGCCTTGATTGCATCTTCTGCCAGCACTAGAAGGGATGGAAAGAGAGTGCCTGAGTTTCTACACGCTGAGGGAATTGTCTTGGGAAGAAAACCTTTGGGCTGGAGGGCATGAGTGCAGGGAGGGCCCTGAGTGACTCCGCCAGGTGCTGGGGTGGGGAGCCAGACAGAAAGTCGGGCAGCTGCTTCCTGGGCCTCATGACTCCTGCGGGTGGCCCTGGGGACACAGACTGGGGATTAAATATCTGGGATTCTGGCCTAGTTCCTTAGCCTCTTGGATTCCATTTTCTCTTTGGTAAAACAGGGGTAGTCATACTTTTCTTGCTGGGATAGTGAGGGGATTCCAGAAAGTACCTGGCACAGTACTTATATTAGTTCTTGTCTGCTCCTGTGAAAGTCTGGGCTGAACACGGCAGATGCTGGTTAAACTCGGTGGCTGAACCTAAGTCCCATGGGGCTGATGGGATGGGGCCTACCATATGGCTCTCTTGTGATCCCGAGTCTGAAAGCTTCTATTTAGGAATTGATGTTGAATACGAAGCCACGGGGAAAGATAAAAATTGGGGGAGCTGGAATGACTGCAGAAGGCAGCAAATAGCAGAGTATTGAAGATTTCAGTATAGTACCTAAGGAGCCTACCAAAAAGGCTGACGTTTTCCTGCAACCCTGTGAAAATGTTTAGAAGCTATGACCTTTCTTCATAGGTACTTAAAATTACAGCTCAAGTGGAAAGAACTTGGGTCTCAGTAGGTGTCCCGAGGCCAGCATAAGTGCACCCCTAGCCCAGTAGCGGCTCTTCTCCTGAGTCCTTACCCTGACAGGAAGCCGCTCTGGGGATTTGTTAACTAATTTGGTTAGTAAACCTCTACCGATGTTTACTGTTAAGGAGACTGTTTCTCATTTCCTATTTCCTTGAGCGTTAAGAGAGGACAGGAGAGCACTAGATTTAATAACAGAGATGACGCCAGTGAAGGCCAAGTGCAAGCCTCGTGGGCTGTGGGCTCTCAGGACACTGCTGAGGGGATGTTGCACAACAGGCTGCGTCACTCCACTTAGGCAGGTGCAGATGGAACTGGACAGGCAGTGACGGAGCACATGAAGAACACATGATGGCCAAAGTTGGGCTTTTGCCTCTGCTGGTCCTAACTTGACTACAGCACAATTCTGGAATCCCAGATGGGGTTTAAATTCTGGCTCTCCCACTTATCAACTGTGTGACTGAGGTGTTTTCACCTGAGCCCAGGTTCCTCCTCTGGAAGAAGGGAGTGATGACATCTACTGTGGACTCAAGGCTGTTTCTGAGGTTTCAAATCATGCCCTGTAGTGCTCACTGTGAGACTTCAGGGTGCTAACCTGACCGGCTCCATGAGTGCTAATCCTCTGCAGGTTACACAGATGGACTCTATGACCTGAGAGGACTGTCACTAACGCAGCTGAAATGACTGCCAGCGTCCCCGACAGCTGGCCCTCTGGAGAGCAGACTCACTAGAGCAGTGCAGTTTCACGGGCGGAAGGCAGAGCTCCTTGGCAATGTCTGTGTTTTTGATGGTCAAGGCTTCCTCCACCTGAGAGGCGCAAAGGAAAAAGGAACAATTCTGTAGATGCTTTATCGTGAGAGGGCCAGATAACAAAAAAGGTCCAAGAGACAGCTGGCGGGGGATGACTTCTGCCTAACAACAAAATGAGGCCCAACAGCCTTCTCAGGATTCCCACTGGTGTGCCAGATCACTGCTGGGATTCTCAAGTGTGCAGTACACACACCCACACTCCACCAGCTAGGTGCAGACCCACGAGACATTTCTGAGGGATCTGCTCACAGCCAGCAGCAGTCGTTGCTTAAAGGCAGTAATTTTCTGTGCTGCTTTGGCAGGTCTTGGGCTGAGAGCTCTGCTTAGACTCATCCTTTGCCTAAAGTGAGAATATCCTCCTGTGCAGGGTGCAGAGGATGCCTGAGGTCAGGGTGGGAGCCCTGGGACATGAGGCAGGCAGGTTCCTGCCCATGTGGAGCAGGACCCCACTGGATTGAGGAAAGGCAGATTTCCCCAACAGCCTGTCTCCCTGGCTAGCTCAGGAGGATTTCAAGGTTAAAGCCTCCCTTCCCCCTTCTGATGATGACTCAGAGTCCCCTTGAGGCCAGGTCCTGGAAGTGCGCCCAGTCGCCTTTCCCCATTCACTAGGATAGTTCTTGACCCATCACTTCAGATCTACCCTTGGTTAGAGCAGATTAGGTCTGTACTTTGGGGGCCTGCAGAGCTTGCCAGGCAGCAGGCCCTGAGCCACAGGAAGCAGGTGGCATGTCATCTGGTAAACTGCTGTACGGGAGAGCTGGTCAGCACTTGGAACACGCGCTTCCAAGACTCAGCTCCCTGGGCTGGCTCCCCAGGGGTGGCAGGGATGAGTGCCCTGCAGGTTGGCTTTTCACAGTGGTCTTATAGCAACTGGACTTTAGAGTCCAGATCTTCAGAGAGCTCCTACCCCTGTAGCTGCTGGGGAAGAGGCTATGGTTGAGAGAAACATGGAAAAGATGTTCTGGCCTTCTTGTCTCCACCCTCAGGGCCAGCTGATCAGCCATTTGGATCCCTGCTGTTTACTCTGCCCTCACTCTGGCTGTGTTTTAATACCTCTTGTAATACGTTAGTTTATTTCTCCAATATCTGTAAGCCACCTTCCTTAATAAAACAGGATGGGAGGAAACAAAGAGGAAAATAACCATTATACAACATCCCCTAACCTGACCTAAAAGACCTCAGAAACTGTAAGAGTATCAGCAACCTTAGAGAAAGACAAAGACTTCAATTTCCTCTTTTTTCTTTTTTTAGACAGGGTCTTGCTATGTAGTTCAGGCTGGCCTTAAACTCACTATGTAGCCCAGGCTGGTTTTGAACTTACGAGTGCTGAGATTACAGGTGTGCACCACCATGCCCAGCCTCGATTTCATTTTGTCAGGACAGATGAGAATCTTTTTTTTCTGCGAAATTAACAAAATACCACCTGAACTCCCAAATAAAAATGATGAACAAAAATCCCCAAGCAATACGTAACAAAATGGTCTATAATTCCCAGTGTGAGGAATGGAATCAAAGGTGGGAGAGGAAGAGGTTAAAATAAAATTTTTTGAATATTTGGAAGAAATCATAGTTACTTTTTTTTTTTTTTTTTTGGTACCGGGGATTGAACTCGGGTCCTTGTGCTTGCAAGGCAAGCGACGGAACTACTGAGCTAAATCCCCAACCACTTTTTTTTCTTTACTAGGCCCTTCCAAGAGCTAGGTTGCAGAGAGTGCAATTTAACTCTATCACAGTTGTAAGCCAGCTTACCGTCTTCCCTTTCACCCATTCCGTGGCTAAGGAGCTGGAGGCAATTGCGGAACCACAGCCAAATGTTTTAAACCTGGCATCTACAATTTTCCCCTTTTCATCCACTTGAATCTAGAAGAGACAGGAGTTAAATTGTGATTCTTGGGGCTAACCTCTAGGACCCAGGAGTCTGCTACTCATGGGGACCTCTGGGGTTTCTGTCTACATTGGAAATTATGCCATTAACTACTGAATTTGTTTCAAAGACCTCAGTGATCAAAAATGAGATTAGGAGCTACTAGACAGGCCTAGCTGGTAAGGATGAGCTGAAGATTAGGATCTTCCATACTAGTTTCACTTTGCTTGCAATTATAGCATGCTTTTTGGCTATAAAGTTCTATTTAAAGAAGTCTGCTCAAAGCTGCTGGGGCATTTTGTCCCTGTACACACTGGGAGGGTCTATAACCAAGGTCTCTGGTTAATAGGTTTTCTTTTTTTTTTTTCTGTACCAGGAATCGAACTCGGGACCTTGTGCTTGTGAGGCAGGTGGCGGCACCACTGAGCTAAATCCCCGGCAATATGTTTTTCTTGGGCATCAAACTGCACTCAGTGGTTCCCTTCTGCCTTGTCTGTTTTCCAAGATAGGTATGAAAACCTCTGGCAACCTGTCTGCCCACCATGAAGACTGTGGTTAAAGCTATGGTTTATTCAAAGTACAATTCACTACCTTCAAGTCATTTCCAATTAGGGAACAGTTTTAGATCACTGCATTTCTTGTTTCACTGAGGAGTGCTAGCTTACTAGAAGTTTCCTTTGATCAGCAAAATCCACAAAATATTTCACTCAGCTGAAGCTGAAATTTAAAATGATACAGTGAATTTGGATCAATTTTCTATTTCAGAATAGGTCAGCATAGTGGAAAATTAAGACCGAGTGCCTGCTTTAAGCATCTCTGACACCGACTCAGTCCATCTCATGCGAATAAAGACGAAGATCAAATGAGATGCTATATACGTGCTTTGCCAACTACGAACTACTGTTTAAGTGAAGGGATTACTCTTGTCACAAATAAAGATGAACCAGGTGGTACCTGTAATTTCATGACATCACCACATGCTGGAGCACCCACCAATCCAGTTCCAACATTTTTAGATGTCTTGTCAAGAGACCCTACATTTCTAGGATTTTCATAATGATCCACAACCTGAAATGACAGGGTTAAGAGAAATCATGATCACTCTACTGGTATAGGTCTCCCTCAAGGTCAGCAACCTGAACCAGGCAGTGCAATAGGAAAGCCTATATGCATATCAACGAGAATCATTTGCGAATCAAATTCTTTTTGCTATCTCCTCTCCAACTGCCTGCAGAGATGGAAGGCACTGTTTGAGATGGAGCAAAGCTCCTTAGGGTTTTCAACCTCAAATAATTACCTGGCTCTAACCCACCTACATCACCAGATTTGTGCTTAAGCAGTGTTTTATTTCCCAATAAAATCCACTGTCAAAGAAGAAAGATTATTAAAAAAAATTCTAAAATAACTATGGCCCAGAGATGGACGTTTTCTTAGAAGTCTCAAGGTGACTCTTAGAAAGATGCTACGGAACGAGTCCCTTTCTGCCTACGTATTAAACCAACCTGATGCAGCAGCGCACCCTGGTGCTGAAAGGCTGCCCACCCAAGTTCCTTCATCAGTGTCAACAAAACACACCGGGCATGGGGGAGGAGTGAAGCTTTGACAGAAGTGCTGAAGTCAGAACCGAATAAACATTCACTCAACTGGCGAACCAAAGGCTTTAATAACCTCAGGGTTTGTTTACCAGTCAGCAATAAGTATCCTGACCTTCTAGTCGTCCCCTACTTTCCACCTGATCACAGATTTTGACTCCCAAGTTCCAAGGACTCCCAAAATATCTAGTGGGGACTTTTCTGTGCCTCGTTGATTTACAGAATTCTTCAGTTGTTTCCGGAGTGAGTCTCACGTGAAGACAAGGGTCCCTAGAAGCCACTCGCGCCAAGAAACAAAATACTATTGTTAGTTATACGCCTAACTCCTGGAGGCCATGCGCCCCTAAAACACAAACAGCATTATAAATGGCCTTCCGGTGTTAGGCCAACGTGCCAGGCACCATGTAGATGACTTCCATATATTATCTCTTGTAGGGGGTTGATGCCCTTTACTCTCCCATCATCGAGGGGCCCTGACTTGCCCACGGTCACTTAGCAATAGCAACGGCCTGTGTGTCTCGACGGGGAATGGTAATTCCTAACAGTACCCTCCCGCCTGGGGTGCAGGTGAGTTGAAAGCTGGTACACGCGAAGTGGCGGAGTGCAGCGGGCCCACTGGAACTCGCCACTGTGTCACTGGTATATCAGCGGCGGACAGAATCACTGCGTAGCGGGGGAAAGTGCGTGGAGGCAGACAAGCGAGCGAGTCGGCATTCGCAGCCCAGGGACCTGCGGGGTGCCGGGATCCCTTGCGGGGGTCCGCGTTCCCCCTCGCCCACCCATACCTTCTTGTGATAGAGCCGGGCCGGAGCTGACAGCTCCCGGGCGGGCAGGCGGGGGCTCTGGAGGAGTAGGGCAGAGGCCGCCCGCCTCAAGCGACCCGCTCCAGCCACCGCCATCTTCCCGGCTCGCGCCTGCGCCGGTCCGGAGCCGCAGGCGGGAGAGGGGCGTGCCCCGGAGTCGCTCTGTGGGACCCTTGTCCTCGCGCCTGCGCCCTGAAACTCAGTGCACGTGGCCGCCTTGGCCCCGCCTTGGCCACACCCCCCCGAGGCGCGCACTGATTGCCGAGCTGGAAGGTCTGAAGCCGCAGGGGGGTTTGTTCCTGGACGCTCCATTGTGCATGGGGAAACTCAGGCTGCTGGAGTGCGGAACCGAGTTCACATTCAGAAAGCCAACCTCTGGAATACGGTGCAGAGGACCACCCCAGTCCATCTTTCCTAACCCTATTTTGCAGCGGAGGAAGCTGAAGCTCAGAGCGGTTTAGTAGTTTGTCCAAGATCTTTAGTGAGTTAGGGATTCGAATTTGGATAATTCTAGGTTAGAATACTGGTTCTGCTCCTTGGCCGTGTGATCCTAGGCGAAGGACTTTGGCTCGCCAAGCCTTGATCTTCTCTTCTGTACCAATTCAAGGCCAGTTCATTCATAGAGCAAATGTGTTGAGTATCTCCTATCTTATGTGTCAAAGATGCTCCTGTAGACGCTGTGGATCCTACAGAAAGCAAAATAGACATATTTCCTGTCGCATTAAACTTGCTAATGAGGGAGGAAAGCGATACATTTTCCTGCCTCAAAAAATGGAAGATTAATTCAGAAATGAATACTACTCCCTGATTTAAAAAAAGTATACAGTATCTATATTTCTGTATAAAACAACAGCAAATTGTCAAAATTTTTATGACAACCCAAGGCAATTAGTTTCTAAAAATGATTATAAATGTAATTTATTAATATTGATTGCAGAATATGATCTTACAAAACCAGAAAATTCACATGTGTATTTAATGCCTACTAGGCATATAAGGTCAAGAAATCACTTTGGGAAATAGATTTTTCTCATGAATGGTGCAATCGATCCTTTCCTGAGGACTGAGAGTTTTCTCCACATTGAGTCTCAGTTGTTGGGAAATCGAACCACACTCTAGGGTGAACTAGAAGTCAAGCCGTTTAGTCCAAGAATCATCCTGACCTTCTCAAGATGGCGTCAAACCTTTTACTACAGGCATCACGCTTACTTCTTGACTTCCTCTATGGCTTCCACTTCCCATCCGGAAGACCCAACTTCTGTTCGAGGTTGTGCCAGCACACACGTTATGTTAAGGACGTTTTTTCTCTGACAGAGGGTTTTAGAAATATATAAAATAATAATAATTGCACGTATTTCTTGATTTTTTCCGTCACAGAAGGCTCCTAGTTTCCTTTTCGATGGCAAGAAAATGGGGTTGTGATCAGGCGCGCGTGTTGGACGACTTCTATGTCAGCGGGTCTTCGTCGGCCGAGGGAAGACCCGGGAGTCACTGGAAACGCAAGATGGCGACGGCGGCCGCAACCTCGGCTTCGGAGCCGGAGACCGAGCCCAAAGCTGGGCCCAAGGCTGAGGGAGAAGAGGATGACGTTAAGGCGGCTAGGAGGAGGAGGAAAGTGTTTTCCCGGGCTGTGGCCACTGCGACGTACAAGACCGTAGGGCCAGGGTGGGACCAGCAAGAGGAATGTGTGAGCGACAGCGATGTGGAGGAGTGCGCCGAGGCTTCCTCCGCCGAGAGCTCCCCCGGGGAGTACGAGTGGGAGTACGACGAAGAGGAGGAGAAGAACCAGCTGGAGATCGAGCGGCTGGAGGAGCAGGTGCGCCCGGGGGTGGACAGCAGGGTCATTCCTTTAGGCTCCCAGGTCTTGGCCCGCCCCCTTGGTCTTTAGCGGCAATAAAACCGCTAAGGCCACAAACCCACTATTAATCCCGTATCTCCTATTGCTTGAGCTGTTAGAGCGTGCTCGCTGTTAGAGGAGTTGCAAGCGTTTTCCCATTGGATCCTCTCCACGACCGGTGAAGGAAGTGGTGTTGGCTGGGTTTTTACGGGAGTAGTTTCTTGATCAAGGTAACACTTCTGCAGGTGTTACACGTGCTTTAGACCAACTCCAGAACTCGTAATCTTAACCACGCCGTTAAACAGTCGAAGTCAAGTTTCATTCATAAGAAGTTTATTTTCCTGTAGGGATAACGACAGCGTTAAAATATGGTGTAGGAGGAAAAGTATTGACCAGGATGATAGTAGAAATGGAAAGAGAGATTTCCTTGTTTGAATATACGTTTGAAGGCCAAGCCCCTTAAGGTTAGGTATTTCATTCCCGGTGTTCTTTTGGGGGAATTTTTCTCAGCCTGAGTTTCCTTTCGGTATAGTGGGAGCAATATTTCCTGCATCATCTAATTGTCATAGTAATCACAACCCGGTGTCCGGTCCCAGTAGTATTGTGGTCTCTGATTTGTAGCTTTATGAGGTGGTGACAACTGCAAGATCCAGGGTCCTAGCAGAAAATAAGTGCAAGTTCAGATTAGAATAATTAGAGAAAAGATCCATAAAGGAATATGTGCGTTTATAAAAGTGTGGGCAGGAGAACCAAGAGTGAAAGTTTAGTATTCTATGGCTACTAATACGAAGACTTTGTGTCCACCCTTAGGTTTAAAGAGGTAAAGGGAATGAGTAGTTTCTTGTTTAGTTGAATAGAGAGGGCACCTGAGGTTGCTGAGACCTTTGGTCAGGGGCTGGGGAATAAATACTGTGTCATGAATTTCCTGCTTTCTTCCTCCACACTTCCGCTGGAGCATCCTGCTGGGTAAACCCACTTGGAAGCCAGGGAGCTAGGAAGCCCAAACATGTTCCATGCTGGAGTGCACAGGGTAGGGAGAAGGTGGAGTGCATTCGGAGGTACAAGACCTAAAAGAGTTTGAGCACATTCTCATTTTTACGGGTAAGCAAATAAGGTTCAGAACAAATGAAATGATTTATTTAATGTTACCCATAGTGGGATTTGTATTCTTAAGTTATCTGTGGACCAAGTGCCATGCTGTACGTTCACTTACTCGGTGATGAGAAGTTGTGACAAACCTAGGTACTTAACCTTGCTGGTGTCATTTTCCTTATAACACACCCTCTAGCACTGATATTTTTTTTAAGTTTTGAAATAGTGATATTATTAATTGGTATAGTCTGTCTCACTTGTCATCACATCAGATTGTCAAATGAACCAGTTAGGCCAGGCAGGTGGTTACCATTTATACTTCCGTAAATAAGCCAGTCAGTTCTTTTAGCACATACTTATGACGCGGATGCCAGATTGATTGTGACCTTGCCCTCATTGAAATAATTTCTTCAGACTGCTAGCCCTGGACCTTTTCCTGAGGGCTCTCTCGAGCATGTGTGTGTGTGTTGGGTGAGGGGAATAGGATCACTTGTTTTAGAAGACAGGGCAGGAGAGGGGAACCAGAGACATGAAGTCCTTGATGAAGGAACTCTGCTTCCTGGGCCCCACCAAAGAGCTCCCAGCCTCTGGTGCCTTGCAGTTGTCTGCCCCTCCTCAGCTCACTGCCCATGCAGGATGGGACCTGGCAGGTGATGCAGAATTGAAGAGTCGCCAGCCTTGTCCTCTTTGACCTGGGGTCTAGAGCAGGAATTTTCAAATTTTTTTCTATTTCTCTCACACTTTTTCTTAGTCTCAGGCCTCTTGTTCCTGCTGTAAGTACCCTTATGGTGGAGCATAATGTTGAGTAACATCCAGGTAGGTATGTAAAAAAATCTGACCCTGCTATATTTGCAAGTTCTGATTCTCATCTGAGTATATTTTATGAAAACTGGCTCCTAAAGTGGTATTTAGCCATGTAATGAAAGTAGAGATTTTTCCATTGTCTGTGTTTGTGTGGTTAAACTCAAAGGCATCTCATGGTGCTTTAGGTGCAGGACAGAGTATAGCTTTATGACTTTGTGTGAATGCAAGCCTTCCCTGCAGTGGTGGACAGGCTTTGTGCAAGTTACTTCAGCTCTCTGAGCCTAGCATGTCCCATTTGGTAAAGTGAGTGTTGTAATAACCTTCCCTCACAAGGAGGTTGTGGTGCTTAAGTGACACAGTGTGCATAAAGCTCCTGACATAGTTGGGCACATAGTGGGTGCTAAGTAAAGGCCTTTTTCATCTTGCCTTCCCCCTGATTGGCACTAGCTGTTTCCTTCCCACTGGCCCCTCTGATATTTCTCAGCCCCATTCTGGGAACAGAAAGGTGTGGTATCTTTGTCATAGGGAGTTGCAAATCAGTTAGCAGGTGGTCTTAGTGCTCCTCTTTCTTTAAAGCATCTTGTCATTAATGGTGATCTGAGCCTAGAATAGACCAGCAGATGGACTCATTTGTCAGTATTGGTTGAACCATATAGAGACGTCTCTCTTTAATGCATGGCACCCTGCATTTAATATATGCACTTTCAGAACACTTCTCTACTTCTTATCTTCCTTATTTTGGCTCCCAAAGAAGTTTAGACCAACAGCCACCTTTGAGGCAGTTTCCCTACTTTAGTGACATTTATGCCTTTTTAAAATTTTCTGCTGACCTATACATGGCATTCATGTGAGGGGCACTTGCAGAGACATTCCTGATGCTAACAAGTCTTCCGCCCCTCTTCCCAGTGGAAAAGCACATTTGGACTTGAGTGCGTTGACCTGGTAGTGTCACGAAGAACCTCAAACGTTCTTTAATGAAGAAAGCATAGTTTTTGTTAACTTCACTTACTGCTGTGCTTTTGTGTGACACACTTGATATTCAATTTTGAAACATCACTGTGTCATAAGCCACTTGAGAACTTGGTACAAATGAGGAAATAGAGCCAGAGAGGCTCAGGTCACTAGTGCCCTGATCTGGGGAGAAACAAATCAGTCCATCACGTGATCGTGGGTTGGGTTTTTTTGGTACCGGGGATCAAACTTGGGTCCTTGCGCTTGCGCAGCAGGCAGCGAAACCACTGAGCTAAATCCCCGGCCCGTTTGTCGAGTTTTTTAGAGTGAGCAGGAGAGCGTTGCCAAAAGTCTTAAGGAGTTTTAAAAAATTTTTATTACTGATCTTGTTCTTAGCTGTTATTCTTTATTCTGCCTGTCATTTGGTACAAAGCTCTGTATTAGCTCTCTCTGTATTAGTTTCTCTTGAGTCCTGTTTT